CTTTTAAAACCGTATAACTTTTGTCTGAAACATTTTTCTGTATCTCCTATATTTGTCGAGATATTTCGCCGGTCCGGTACTTTTTCCCCACCCTGTATATCGCACGCAGGTCTTCTCATTCTATGGAGAAGCAGTTTCAATCGGCAAGAGACAGAGTTTTCCGATCGGACGAGTATATTCTGACGAGGCGGTCTTAACCGTAACGACGCGAATCAGCCCGTCGGGGCCCGGATGAGCTTTTGCTATGCGACCAAATTCCCATTTGCAGGGGGGCAAATTCGGATTGCGCAAAAGCACAAGGCGTCCGACTGGAAGAGGATTTTCAGCCTTGCGCCACTTACGGCGTTGTTGAAGCGTGTTTATGTAATCGTTGGTCCAGAGAGACCAGAACCGTTCGGTCAGGTGGCGGACGAGTTGCCACCGTGATAACCGATTCTCAGACAGATGGAGCACCGAGGGCTCCGGAGGAGTGATGAGAGAAGATCCGATAAGGAAATGACCCGGAGTAAGAACTTGATAGTCATCGACTGAGTCGGAGAGGGGAGCGAGCGGGCGCGAATTGAGGCAAGCCTCGATTTTGCAAAGGAGCGTGGTGAGCTCTTCGAAGGTGAGGGTATGACTACCTAGCACGCGACGTAGATGATGTTTCATACTGCGGACGCCGGCTTCCCATATACCTCCGAAATGAGGTGCAGAGGGGGGGATGAAATGCCAGGAGATGTGATCGGACGCAGTTTGATGTTGAAATGAAGCGTCGCGAAGGGCGGCTCGGTACGCGATGGTTAACTCTTTCTCAGCGCCAACAAAAGTAGTGCCGTTATCGGAGTAAACCGTCTGCGGAAGTCCACGCCGAGATGTAAATCGCGTAAAGGCCCCCAAGAACGCGGAGGCGGAATAATCGCTAACGAGTTCCAAGTGGATGGCCCTCGTGGAGAGACACACGAACAGGGCAACGTAGGCTTTACGTGAGGTGACTCCCCGGCCGGCGGATGCGCGCACGTGAAGCGGGCCAGCGTAATCAACGCCGCAGTGCGAGAAACTTCGAGGGGGTGGGGAAACACGAACAGCAGGAAGATTCCCCATAAGTTGGGTCGGGATTGAGGCGCGTTCGCGGACACAAACCACACATCGATGGATGACGGATTTAATGAGGCTTCGCGCTCGAATGATCCAGTATTCGGAGCGAAGGGCGGTGAGTGTTAACTGCAGCCCCCCGTGCAGCGTGCGAATGTGAGCTCGCTGGGCTAAGAGCGTCACTATCGGATGCGATGCAAGGATGATAGGGTGTCGAACGTCGTAGGGGAGAGGAGCTTGTTGAAGCCGTCCCCCCACGCGTAAAACGCCGTGCTTGTCGACGAATGGAGTGAGGGACGAGATTGGGCTACCCGACGCGACGGGACGGCCGGCGGAAAGCGCTCTGAGTTCTGCAGGGAAAAGAGTCGCTTGAATGTATTTAAGCCAAAAGATCTTGGCGGTATAGCATTCGTCGGCGCGAAGCGGAGCGGCGGTTGATGAGGATCGGGTAGACTCCCGGTTCCGTCGGCGACATGCGTCAATAAAGCGATAGAGATACGCGGTAACGTTGACGAGTTTGGACCACGAGGAGAATCTGACGGCGAGATCCCATTGCGTTGCAGTCCCCTGCGAATGGAGCGAGACAACTTTCTCTTCCAACGGAGAGGAGGGAATGTAAGAAGTCGGCTCCGGTGGCCACTCTTCGCGAGCGGAGGCTAACCAAGGTGGGCCGTGCCACCACAGTGGATGAGAGAGTAATTCGTCGCCGGGGATACCGCGAGACGCACAGTCTGCAGGATTGCTTGACGTGGGGACGTAGCTCCACAAGGCATCCATCATATTTGTTTGAACGGCGTGAACGCGGTTTGCCACGAAGGTGGCCCAGCGAGAGGGATGAGACCGTAACCACGTGAGCACGATCATGGAGTCCGTCCAACAGAAACAGGATGCGGATTCCAGATGAAGCGAAGTTCGAATGAACTTCATGAGCCGAGACAGAAGGACCGCGGCGGCAAGCTCGAGGCGCGGGACAGTAAGAGGAGAGATCGGAGCGACCTTCGATTTACTGGCGAGTAGCGAGATGTGCGAGACATTGAGCGGAGAGGTGACCTTGAGGTAGACGACGGCAGCGTACGCCATCGTGGATGCGTCGGAGAACCCGTGCAGTTCGACGGCTGAATGTGGCTGGACTCCAGTCCACCGAGGGAGAGTCACCTCATTCAGATGTGTAAGCTTCGCATAAATAGTTTGCCATTGAGAGCTGAGGATACCGGATACCTCGGTATCCCAATCGAGCTTGGAGCACCACAACCGCTGCATGAAGATCTTGGCGGAGGTCGTGACAGGAGTCACCCACCCGAGAGGATCGTACAATCGAGCAATGGTCGACAGAATTGAGCGTTTACTCCGAGGAACCGAGCGATCTAGACAAACTCTGAATTGAAAGAGATCCCGAGAGGGATTCCAGACGATGCCCAAGATCTTAACTTGTTCATCGCTAGCGATGGCTTTGCTGCAAGCGAGACCGTGATTCGAGGGATTGATGTCGTCCAATAGGGAGGAAGAATTACTCGCCCACTTGCGTAATTCGAAGAGCCCGCGTCCGAGTAGAGATATCAATTGATCACGAGTTTGTTTCAGCGACGCGATATCGTTATCGCCGAAGAGCACATCATCAACATAAATGTGGCGCTGAAGGATGGGCACAGCCCGTGGAAAGCGATGGCCTTCGTCGGTGACGAGACGTTGGATAACGCGAAGCGCGAGAAACGGGGCGCAGGTCATACCGTAGGTCAGGGGTGGGCAAAATGCTGCCCGCGGGCAACGGGCGCCCGCGGGCGCCCGCGGGCATGCCCGCGGGCATGCCCCCACTCCAATCATCGCCCCACCACGTCTCAATCATATTCGGAACTATACTTCTAAAGCGCGACGTTCTTTCCCACTTGCCGAAACTGTCTCCCCACTCTTGCCGAAACTGTCTCCCCACTCTTGCCCGACACGCACAGCTATTGCCCGCGGGCAAACGGGCGCCCGCGGGCAGTGAAAATTGCCCAGGCCTGCCGTAGGTGACCGTCAGTAGTTGATAACTCGAGGACGCGGTAGAGGATTCAGGCTGCCAGATGATCCGCTGATAATCGCGGTCCCTTGGATCGATCAAAATTTGCCGGTACATTTTGGCGATGTCGGCGATGTAAACGTATCGGTGTTGACGCCACTGTAAAATAATAGCCGGGAGATCCGATTGTAATTTCGGACCGGCGTGCAAATGATCGTTCAGAGAGGTGCCGTTGGACGTATGACTAGAGGCGTTGAAGACGACTCGGAGACGCGAGGTAACGCTATCAGCGCGAAACACCGGATGATGCGGGATGTAAACGGTCTGACTTGAGGGCGTACTCGCCTCGAATACTCAACGCATGTGACCGAGCTCTTCATATTCACGCATAAATTTGTGATATTCGTCGCGAGTCGCGGGTTGAGAAGAAAGGCGTCTTGAAAGGGCCTTGAACTGACGCTCAGCGATAGGCCGAGAGGATCCGATGTCAAGCGGCGGCGGGGATTTAAAGGGTAATCGCACCATATATTGTCCGTTTGCCGCGCGAGAATGGGTGGCGAGAAAGTGTTCCTCGCACTGTTGATCGCATGGAGAGAGAAGACCGAATTGAGGAAGTTCCTCGGTAATCCAGAATTTCTGAATACTCTCGCTGAGAGAATTTAGCGAGGTGCAGTGAGTTGTGACATGGAGGGCAGTTCGATGAGAGGAACGCTCCGTAGTGAGGGGGCCAGAAATGATCCAGCCAAAAATGGTATTTTGAGCCATCGGCTGATTTGCCTTGCCGGCTCGAACGCCGTCGCGAATGATTGCGCTGAACAGATCAGCGCCGATGATCATATGAATTGACTCGGAACTTGTCGGATCCGAATCAGCCCATGTTATGTGAGACAGATAATCGAAGGATGAGATGTCGGACGTCTGCTTGGGGACGTACGACGTCAACGACGGGAGAATGAGGGCCGTCGTGGTAAGCGACGGCGTATCCGACGTGGTCGGCGAAACGGAGACAGCGGCTGCGTGGCGGACCATCCTCACTTGAGCGCCGCCAACAGCTGAAACTGACACGGGCATCCGAATTCGCTTGGCGCGCAGAGATTGCGCCAAGGACTCAGAGATAAAGGTAGCTTCAGAGCCCTGATCCATGAGCGCCCGGACCACGGAAGCGCGACCGGAATCGGAGGTAACCTTTACGTGAGCGGTAGCTAGAAGGACCTGATATCGCGTACGGGGAATCGCGGAAGCGAGGTGCGAGTTAATTTCGACGGGAGTCGCCGGAGGATCGACTGGAGCTTTCTCCAATGACGGTTTTGCGGCAGGGAGTCCAGAATCCGAATCAAGGTGAAGCATCGTATGATGTTTCTTGCTACACGAGCGACACGAATATTGACTTTTGCACTCGGTAACCAAATGAGAGGCACTTAAACAATTGAAGCAGCGCTTGAATTGCTTGACGGTATTGCGACGTTGAGTCGGATTCTGGGCAATAAACTTGGCACAAGCGCTTAAGTAATGTCGCGCTTGGCATAGCGGACAAGTTATCGTACCGGACGCAGATGCAGTCGCAACATGTACGCGAGACGCGGTCGCGGGTTTAGGCGATTTAACGACCGAATTGGAGGCGCACTCCTCCAGCGCGCGGATCCGATTCGTAAGAAACCGATTTAATTCGTCATACGAAGGCGGAGTGTCGGAGTCGCTTGTCTTAAGATTCCACGCCTTCCGAGTGGCGGGATCTAACTTCTGAGTGAGTGAGTGCACGAGGAAATCGTCCCAAAGATTACTGGTAGATCGACCGAGATTCTTAAGTGAACTGACCGAAATCTGATAATTATCGCAAAGAAGTTGCAAATCCGACGCCGACTCTTTAGCGAGGGCCGACAATCCGAAGAGCGCAGAAAAGTGAGACGCGATAAGCCTTCGTTTGTTGTCGAATCGCGTGCACAATGTAGTCCATGCTAGTTTAAAATTGTCTGCGGTGCTGGGAATATCACGAAGGCAAGCGAGCGCGCGTCCCTTCAGCGAGGATGAAAGATAATGCATGCGCGCGAAATCCCGCAGCGACGGGTTATTGATGATAAGAGAAGAGAACCGATCGCGGAACGTTTCCCACTCCGAATATGTCCCATCGAACGGCGGTAACTGAATTTTAGGCATATGCGACTGAGACAACGACGGTACTTCCGCAGGCAGCGAGCCCGACGAGGAAGAATTAAGAGACTGATTTTGATTTACGACAGGTTCCAATTCTTCGAGACACTCCGCAAAATGTTCCCAGGTAGCGTTGTAAACGTCCTCAGTGGCCTCGAAGTAGTTATCCAGGAAGTACTCCATAGATGTCTTGTCCTTCGTCGCAACAGTCGTCGAAAGAAAAGCGTGCCCGCTTTGGTACTGCGTCCAATTCTCCTTAAGCGACGCGATCCGAGTACGAATCTTCGCCGCGGTGAGGTTCGCTTTTCCGACTTTCTTAAAGTTCTCCAGCGCTCGTTCGATTGAGCGCTGTAACGTGAGCTGCTTTGTGAGTGATTCCGACATGGCAGCGAGTTGTCACAGATCCGGAGAATAACCACACGTTATCCGACACTCTCTATCACGATCCGGCTCGAAGGACCAGCTATGTTCGCGATAACCCGAAGCCGATTGAAGTATCGGAGCGTGACCACCGGAACTCGCCCAGCGCTGAGCGACGGACAGAGAGGTACGGAGAATGAGGTCTCCTTGTCGGAGACCGGGAACTGGACAGTGTCGGGCAAAGATCGGATTAAAGGAAAGTCACCGAATTAGACCGAACACACAAAAAAAACCTTTATTACCCCAACGGTACACCACGATCGCTCGAACGGAGAAGTAGGGCCAGAAACGAAACGGGGCGGAAATCTTGTCGTTCCGAAAGGCTCAGCACAAACGGCGCGGCGGAGATCTTGACGAGCGCCCGCTGGGCGCCCTGACGGTACGGAGATCTTGCGCGCGGTCGGCAGTCGTATCGCGCGGCTGACGGAACGCGCGATCGCGGGCCACTACACTCTCCGATCGATCCACGGAATATTAATGAACGCAATGGAAATCGCTAATGATTGAGCGCGATCGACATCGGAGCACGACCACTGTCGACGAGAACGTACAACGGAATTCGCTCGGATTCCTGTCTCACGACGGACCGTTAAGCGAGTCCGGGTCCTCTCGTGAGGGCGGCGGGGTACAAAACGTAACCGTGATTGGCCGATCGGGAATCGCGCGAGGTAACCATCGACGCAGAGCATGGCAACCGCGTGGTCGCGTAGCGATAAACACCGCGCCGGGATCCGAAAATCTTTTGGTCTTGAGCTCGCCGAATGTTCTCGACGGGTTATTTGCCCTTTCAAATGCTGAATTTGAAACAGCAACTAAGCGAATTTAGTTCGTTTAGCAAATTTGTTTTTTCAGTGTATACGTTGCCACATGAAAGTTTTCTGTACATCGAGGGAAAACTAACTACAGCCAAACAAATCGAAGGATCTGATGTAATACTGGGAAATAATTGCGTCGCATTCATGTTCGATGAGATTCGATATGAACTTGACGGCGTTGAGATTGATCGTACCAGAAATGTCGGAATAACCAGCATGCTCAAGACCTATGTCTCGACATCATTCGATAAAATGATATCTCTGAAGAATGCCGGCTGGGATGTGTCGAACAATGGGAAGGGAGATTTCAATTTTTGCGTACCGCTCAGCATGCTATTGGGATTCTGTGAAGATTACAAACGCGTGGTGATTAACGCTCGTCACGAATTGATTTTAATACT